TGTAATTCAAGGCTCTTTTAATGGCAAAATTGTTACCATCCTAAAACAGTGTTCCAGACACATAACTCATTACTTAAAAAAGGATCACCTTGCTGAACAGAGGTAAAAAAAAATTAGTAGGAAATTGGGAAAGACCAATGATTAACAAGTACTTACAGTATTTAATCAATACTCATGCCATGTTTAAAGAATGCAAGCCAAAAATGCACCATTATGCAGGATAGGTAATTCTTTTTTCAAGGCAAAATTCCCAGTAAAACTAATTCCTAAACTACTGAAATGGTGACTTGATAATGTACATGATCCAAAATATATCCAATGGAAGAATTTTTTTTTGTCAAGTTGTATCAGTGCCATGTATGACCTAAGAGTCAGAGCTGTTGAACAGTCCAGTGCTTAACAGTGTATTAACATTTAATGTAAATTCCATTTCCTCCAAGAAATGTTGTTACAGATAGATCACAGAATTGTTCAGATTGGAAAAACCTCTAAAATCACCAACCACCAAGGCAGCACCACCAATTCACCATTCAATCACGTCCTCAAAGCCGTGTTTTTTGAACACCTCCAGGGATAGYGACTGCACTGTTCCCCTGGGCAGCCTGTACTAATGCCTGACAGCCCTATCTATGAAAAGCATTTTTMCTATTATCTAATCTAAATCTCTCCTGACACAACCTGAAGCCATTTACTCTCATCCTATCACCTGTTACCTGGGAAGTAATGTTAGATACAAAATGTGTTATGTTAGGTAGGAAAATGGTTTTATACATGAAGGAAAAGATTAAGATWTCTGTCACAAACTTGTATATTCATGCAATTTTTTATTTTGAAAAGGGATTATGAAGGTAGATTTTGTATGCACCTGGACAGTCAGTTCTGACACATGTAACATGCTGTCTACATGTGTTAACATATAAACCCATACTGAAACACACTACAGCTCTTTAACATTTATTATTTATAAAAAATATAGCTAGGCTGTATCAACTCAATTTGATAAATACAGCACAACTTCTGAAAACATGAAAAAAGGACAAATTCAACACCAAGTATTCCTGTTCATACTGGTTTGCATTTTAGCATTGTATTATTAGATAGGTGAAAGCCTGTGATCAAAAATCATTTGGCTTACTTGACAKATCTTATTTYGGGAAAGTACTGTGACTGGTTTAGTACAGTACAGCTGGCCTCACCTTCTCTCCACACCTAATAAAAGTTAGAGCCAATATTCCATCTGGGTGTCTGCTGCCACTATGCATATCATTGCATGAAACACCAGGATCAGCCACTGGTGTGTTGAAACCTATTGTGAGAACTGCTCTAAACACTCGAATCCAGTGAATGATACAGCTCTTGCAGCTTCAGGATAGATGCAGACGTATGGTTATAAAAAACTATTAAGAATTCCTGCAGTTAACAGTACATGGCAGTCTAGGCCATCTGAAGCCATAGAAAGCTATGCTGTTATCATAAAACTTTCTTGCCTGATCAAAACTGGCAGGGGTTTTATGGGTTCTTTCATTTGTTTGCTTATTTTTTTAAGCAGGTAAATTTTAAAAGTGGTTTTACAGCCACTGAYAGGGACGGTCATTATAGAACACCTGAAGTACCTTTAGTTTTGTGCTGAAAGTATGAACAACAGAAGAGCAGGAGGAAAAAAAAAAGCAAAAGCAAAATTGGGACTGTGTTTACAGGAGCTTTCCCCCACTTATGGCCAAGGTGACTCAGCTACCAACAAAACATACTTTGAAGGAATGAAACAAGTATTTACGGGATCCCAAAGCCTGCAGCATTCATAGCAGATGGTCCATTCATCCACATTTCTCTTTATTTGGGGTTTAGTATACTAAGGCAGARTATGACTTATTTTAAAACACAAATTCTGTTTTCCCAAGGAATTCAATTTTCCATGTAGTTCTTTATAATGGGTTTTACATTATGTAAATTTAGTGCATGTGAGGATGCAAATAAAGTGGAAATATGTTTTCCACATTTTTTTAAACATATTTAGGATATTTATAGATCCACATGGATAGACACATTTGAATTTGCTTGTTAAATAAGAACTTAATCCTGGCATTTAAGCACTACCAATTTTGCTGTCCAAGTTCAGAGTTCTGCACGCACAAACACAGACGGCATGCTAGTAACTACAGCTATCTAGAATTTTTCACCCACTGATGTTCAGTGTCGTAAGTGTTCCACTTGTTGATTCAGAACACATCAGGGAACATCTGTTCAATTTTCAGATGATCACTTGGCAGGCACACACCCTATCACTTCACAGTACCTGACATTTTCAAGTTTCCAAAAAAAGGGAAAAAAAGAGCATTATTAGAGGTTAGTAGAATCTCTTCAGCAGAACTTAGAGCTGRAATTTTTAAAAAGGGCCCAAGGGAATATTGCAATCATGCTCCAACTAAGTGATTGAGGAAAAAGGAACTTGAAATGAAGGCAGGGAAGCACCAGAACCAATTTTATGTATGTGTATATATGTACAATTGTATCACTGGTGTTACTTTCTTGGTGCTCAGGGATGGTTTCTTTGGTAACGTATTTTCTACTACTTTAAGCGTGAAGTAGGAATTCAAGTACTGTTAGAAGTCTGAGCTCAAGTCAAATTATACCTGTTGGAAACCAGCAGCATTCTTAGAAGTCTGTATTTCACTTCACAATGCCCTTACTACAATCTGCTTCACTTGGCGGTATTCCAGATCTGCCAAGGCTGGTAGATGAGCATTTGTGCGTTTTGACAGTCCCCAAGACCGACTGTTTACATATATAGGATTAGGCACAATAAATAACGGTGTGCATTTTGTATTACTTTTATAGGAAAACATTTTTATTTCAGCTGCAAGCCAAAATTAAGAAATTATTCCAAGCAGAAAGAGAAAGCAACATTACTGCATGTGTTGCTGCTTGGATAAAAAAAAAAATCTCATATTTAAAACAATCCCGTTTTCAGCCACATACCGTTACTGATGCGCTGAAAACAAAACTAAGGTCTTGATTTCTTATTATAGTCTGCTCAATATAGTATTTTTTTAAAGTATTTGGATTCAAAGGTACAACTAGAATTTGAGACAGACATTTTAAAGCATGTTGCTTGTCCTATGATTTGTCCTGAATATAAATGTGGTTCTTAGATTACCATCCTCAGAGTCTAAAGATATGTGTATCTACATGGAAATAATTTTCCCAAGACACCTACAGTGTATCCTGGCTTTTCCTACTATACATATACACATACTTTCAAGAGAGTCTTGAGATTTTCAATGTTGTAGAATAGGACAGAATACACATTCTGAAGAGAGCCAAATATATACAGCACTTTGGTAATTTTATAATAGCTTGCTGTTTGAATATTCTTCACAGCTAAAATGCTAAGCTATCTGGCCACTTCACTGACCATTTGCTTCTATATTGAACTATTTAAATAGCAAATGTTAAGGAGTAAAAAAAAATCCCTTCTTGCCAACTTTTTAAAAAAATTTAACCTGATTTGTTTTGGTACATGAAAGACAGCAGGAGTCAGCAAATACTAAAATCCTTGGAATAATATCATTTATTTCATTCCTCCATAGCGAAGAGGTATTGAAACAAACCTTTGTTTCAGAAAATGGAAGTCTACAAATGTACAATTTCATATTTCTGTTCATGGAACCTTTTACTCTAGATGTGGAATTGCATGCTAATCAGGTCAAACTCAGCTTTTTGTATCTGCATCACTGTATGCCTCATAATAGTGTTGAATTTAACACAGGCTGTTGAATGCATCCAGTCTAAACTGAACAGCTGAGAAACAAAGACACCCACAGTGAACAGAGAGCACATCTACTGGGACAGTCAGTGCATGGYAGGGAAGGTGGCAAGCAAAGGGCAATAGCTGTTTTACTCTCAATTCCCATGGAGACACTGCAYCTCATAAACATAAGCATAAACATACTCAGGGGAACAAGAGCAGAAATAGCTGTTACCCTTTAAGCTTACACCCCCATTTACTGTGCCTCAAATTAATTTCTAGAAGGGAACAGATAATCTAGCATTAAAAAAAAAAGAAATCTATATAAAAGTTAAATATTTGATTACAGTAGCAAGTCACCACTTCATCATGGGAAATAACTCATCTCTTGGAATCGTTATTGATCWGAAGTCTCCTGTTTTGGTTGCGTGTTGGATACTGGCAATTCCAGACTTGCCCATAGCAGGGGCTCTGCTTTTCTCATAGTGAGCTCAATCTTTGTAGCAGTCATGTTCACATAACTCCTCTTTACATCGATCACCTGGAACAGAAAAGGTTATCTTACACTTCAATTTAAAGTGTAAACTTCAATTTAAAAACCAGACTGATAGGTATTTGGGAATTCAGCTAGGGAGTACCTCATCAATTATTTCAGTAAATGTTCAGGAGGATGAAGATCCCTCTGGTATTTTGAAAAGTCTGTTCTTTCCTATTCCCATATAGGAATGTTTATGGTATAAACATATGCCTATGCATATCTAACATATACATTGGCTAACACATACATAGGCAAGGGTTTTCTGAACTGCCACTACCATGGTTGGGATCAGAAAGTATCTTAGAAGGTCACCTTCTCTTTAGTGTCCCTTATGATGTCATACTGGATCTCCTGGGGTATTATATTCGGGTTTAAATGTAACTACTCAATGTTACGCAACTGAAATTATTTCAATAAACAGAGTAATGAGGAAAACCAAGCCATTTTTGAAGGAGACAAAGCTAAAGGCTTATGTTTTATTTGTCCTCTGGGGTTTATTTTTTTTTTTTTCTTTTTAACAGAAAAAGTATTTTTACACTTACTCCCCATAACTTCACACTGCGATGAAACTCCTTTTCTCCTTCAAACACAATATGGATGTTTACCTTAACAGAAAAAACAACAGAWAATGAGAAATTTTTATCATGTTAATAAAACATTTGATACTGTAAGCATGTTTAAACAAAATATACCATGCTAGGACTTGGATCCTACAATCACCAAAGTAATGCAATCTTCCCACAGAAATAGAAGTGAATGTTTTAATAGATTCTAATACGGCTGCACTCAACAGTGGCCACTGGTAGCTGTATCATTTKAGATTAAGAAATCAGAGAAGCATTGCAACACCTGTTTAATAWTAGTAGCTGTGAATGAAGCATACAATGAAGAATTTTATTAAATTACGTTAAGTCAAATACAATTAAATTATGAATCTATCATTATTTATGGTGATGCAAATCCATCACGCTTGGGTTTTAATTATGGAAGTCAAATTAAACTTTTTTTTTGGCATACTGTTTTGCAAACTGTATTGCAGCTTTTAAAAAACCCACATATTAAAGTGCAGATGTCCAAACAGAAGGGAGAAAAAAAGCTGTACATACTTGAACAAACACAAATGCCAAGAAAAAGCAGTTACTCAAAGAAGTGTCTAATGCTATCTCTGCCTTGTAAATAAAGCTGAGCAGATTTTCTTAACTTSAGATTGCTGATCTTAAAGTAGAGCCTCACCATTGTGCTATTAGCTTCTACGTAGCTCAGATCAGGGACAGAGTTTTTAGCATATACAGAAATAGTCACTTCTCCTCCAGTCTGGTGCCAATCATGCCTGCATGGAACTACTTTTTTACCCTATAAAAGGAAAAAGGTACAAAAAAAGAGATTTTGAATTACATTAGAATTTTTTTAACAGAAAATTAACAGGATAAATGCCCAGGACTTTTTTTAACAGCCAACTAGCATAGTTAATAAAGGACTATATGTCATCTTCACAGGAGTTTGCAAGACTCCACTTGCAACTCTTTTTGCAAGTGCAACTTTTTGCAAGTTCCACTTGCAACTAAATTATTTCCGTAAATCCCCCTCAAAAAAACTACAACAAAACAAATGTTACTTGGTGGATCAATTTCCTTTCCAAGACTACATTTAGCCAGGAGATAAGAGAAAGCAACTGAGCAGAGAAAATGAATGCATTTACTCCAAGAATGCTTCATATAGCTGCAAAAAAAATATTTATTGCTCTCTGTTCACTGAAGCAGAAAAAAATAAATGGTGAAAAATTCTTTAAAATAAAAGCAAAAAGTTAAGTTTAAAAAAAAAATGTTAGATAGAAGCCCATTACCTTAATATTCATACAGTTAACATACACATAGTTTAAATGTGGATAAATTCTTTACTCTGTACTCTCTTTTTCTATACTCTCCTGCTTTAGGCCCACAACTTCAGCTTTTTTTTTTTTAATCCCTACATTTTGCACTTGCAAATAACTGAACAAAAATATAAATCTTCAAAGCAAGCAGCAATACTAAGACTTAATGGATGCAAAGTATTTGTGAACTGTTCTAGAATGAGGTAGCAAAACTACACTTTTTATAATATATCTTTATTTCCTTCTGTTAAAAATTCCTGATGTTTGTAGTGTCAAACCCATTTTGCCTCAGCAACAGACAATATATTCGTAACAAGAATTTTGTGTTCACCTGTATCCATCGTGTGACCAAATGTTTTTCAATGTTTTGTTCCATTATAATATTCTATAGTATTCTTAAAGAATCTTCATAACCCTTGAATGTTAGTATTTTTCACTTTGTAATTCTTCAGTTTGTTCCCAACACTGTGATGAAATACCTACAAATTAAATCGATGCTCTCTCTATTTGTTACACCGGCAGCCAAAATAAGACACTCAATTTGATCCAGACCAGAAAGACATTCAGGTATGTAAATAGCATCCAAATTAAACATAAAGGCATGCTTTATTTGTGCCCCCCACCAACAGAACCTCATTGACTTTATCTGTCCTGTCATCCCACCTTAAAAACAACTCCACCCCTGAATGACTTTCTTAACTAACAAAGTGGAAAAATCTGCAATTTTTTTCCTGAAATTGACAAAAACTTTTACCACAGATAGTACACATATCACTRAACAGAAAGGTTGTAGCTATTACAAGTATACCTGTATCGCAGRCTACTTCACACGCCACTTGTCAGTTTTTCTGCTGTGCATAGTATCCTCCATGTTATGTCAGAGGTAGTGATCTGTAATAGCTCAACTACAGTAATAACTAAATCAAGCTACAAACTACATTTCAGTAGTCAAAATTCAAAATGGCCAGTTACAGAATGCAATATTAATGCTACTTACTGCATCCTTTTTAGTCCATACATGTGTTCCTCTTGTGCAGCCTTCTTGAGCTAAAAATGTATTGAAGTCAGAAGTTTTCCTTTTACAACAGCTCCAATACTTCATCCTTGAAAGTTTGCAAAGTAATAAACAAACAATATTTAGGAMACTATTTACTGTGAATATTGAAGATCTTTCCGTTATGCAATATTACTGTTCATTTAGTATACCCTCTTCAAGCATTGCCATTTTTGACTGAAGAGGGAATACAGAATAAATCAAGGCAACATCTACAAAGAAAGCATGAACACACAACAGACTAGTAAAAAACCCCAGAAGGTAACTGAATACTAACCCTTCATGGAATTTAGGYACAAAAATGGAAGTTAACTGAATACTAACCCTTCATGGAATATAGGTACACCAGAATGGTAAATACATACTTCTTCTGTGCTGTGTGGTCCTTCGTATGTCTAGTGAGAAGAAGTTTAAAGTTTATTAGTTACAGGATTTGGAGYAAGGAAAAAACAAAACAACACAAACCAGAAATACTGACCAAAGTATGACAAAGCTTTTGGGTACATAAACTAGRTCTGATGGCTTGTCCTAGCTTTTCAAAGTAACCTTCARCATTCATTCACAAAAGGCTCCCAGGAACTGCTAAGAATCTGTACTTTGTGTTAATTCAGTGGTGCACATCAATGATGACACATCTTATGCTCATAAAGGTCACTTTAGATCCTCAGAGATATTTGTCTTTAAAATAYTCTAAGCATTCAGAGAAAACAAGAATAATAAATGAAATTTATTGTTCATAAAACACATGGATTTTCAAAAGAAAGTATACAATATACAACTTAGCCACTGAATATCAGATAACTTCTTCCCAACACAAAGACTGCCAATGTTCTCCTCCCACCAGAGCTTTGGTAGATAATGCAAAATCTGTCAGGTAAAACGGCTATTTAAATCCTGCAGTCCYGTTTTGTACAATGCAAGGGTTTTAGTGTAACTTTCACTTTAAATGACAATGTAATATAATGACTAATTTTGGTGCTAGATGGGTTAAAACACYRACTTTAATTCTTCTTGCAGGAAGCATTAACTGATAAGACCTGTAGATGCTTCTGATCTATGCACAGATTATCAAGAGCAACTCAAGCGTTATCAGTAAGACACATCTCATTAGTATTATATTCAATATTTTAAGCTGAAACACATCAGTATCATGGATTTGACAAGCTTACTTATTAAGAAGTTTATGGCAGGCTTAAAAAAAAAAAAACAGCTTAATACTTTGTGCATGCAACTCGTATTTATCCATACTAAAGCCTGTTATCAAATGTGTATTTGTGAAAGGCAACAGACTTTCTGCCTTCTCCAACTTAACTTGTAGCCTGCTCACGTAATAGCTGAGTAGCTGGGTTTAGAGTACAACTAAACCAGTACAGTGAACCACTTACTTTTGAACAGCCTGCATTTTTACATGCCGTCCCAATCTTGATTTCATCACTGTCTTCCTCTGTAAACAGAGTATTACAGAAAATAGCAAATGAATTGTATAATCTACTGAACACTCTGCTTTTACTAAGAATTCAAATGAGCCAAGCAGGAGATTAGAAAAACCTCCCTCTTCAACCTTCTATTTTCTGCCAAGCACTGAAATCTGCCACAGAGGTACACAGTAACAGAAACATTCCAAAAGCTGTATTACCTATGCATCAAAATCTATGGTCTGTATCTTTACACATTTTAAGTGGGGTAAATAAAAAAAGATGGAGAGGATCATTACAATCAAAGTCGAAGAGAAAAATCATTCATTTTGTTCAGTTTTGTAAAAATAAGAATGTAAAAGGCTTCAACTGCTGTCTATAAATACACACAAGGAAATAATTTGGATACCATRGAGAAAGAAGAGCTAAATTAGCTTGGCACAAGAACAAAAGCGCATAAAATAGTCACAAGTGTAGGTTGAAATAATAAAGCTTCTTAAGGAGCAGTGTTATTCTGCAACTAAATTCAAATAAAATGTGGGAGAAGAGGAAAAGCAGACSAAGGAGAACCAACTAGTCTTCAGAGGAATTTCACAAATTTATGAAGGGTTTCTATGACACTGTGTTTGCAACATTAGGGAATAAAGTTAATTTCTTGATAACTCTGTCAGTCACATATTCAGAAATGGATGTTCCCATTATGTTCATTCTAACCAGGAAACCTTAGAAAAGACACAGTTCCAATGATGTTAAGAACAACATACTGCTCCAAGTCTCCATGTTATCCACATTTGAACTTCAATCAGCATTTCCTGGACTAGAAGGTATTTCCCAGATTATAAAGATCTTTAGATAGACRACACTACCACTTCAGAAATTACAAGATCAGCATTTCATTGTGTGAAAACTAGCATCACATACCTATTTMACCTCCCTGTCTCCTTACCTTTTTTCCCTTCATTTTCTGATGACAGTTTCAGTTTATCAAGAGCTTGTTTCAAGGAAGCTGACACTTTCAGCTGCAAATTTGTCATTGGCTCATCTGGGCTAAAAAAAGTCCATGTATTAGTGACAACTTTATGAGAAAGAATTTATAGAAGACAAAGTAGTAACTTTCAATCTTCCTACAAGAGTCTTTCAAACCTCCCTTCAACAAATAAACTACATTTGTAAATGCCAATCCTTATTGTTTATGAAAAAAAGACTAGAAATTTAGAAGTCTTGGCTTTCAACTGGAAATCCTAAAAACTCTCCAAAAATAAAAATAATTCAGAGATACTAAGGAATCTAAATACAAGCACCCCAAAATGATTTTTAGTACTGTTTCAAACACTAAATAAAGCTACCAGAGGCATTTTAAGACATGAGGTTATAGATTCGATTTTTACTTCTTGTGGATTTCAGTGCCAAGAGATCCAGTACTTCCTTGTCATAACCAGAATTCTTGTCTCTTATTTTGAAGATTAAGGCAACACCATCACCGCTACCAAAACCAAGGTCTTCTAAGATTAATTTCAGAATTTCTAAATATCTGAATTGTACAATATTGAATAACCAAGCAAGATTTAACTTGGCCACCACTACAAATTTGGCAAAACTTAACATTTCACATACCATACCTTGGCCTTTTAATTGTTTCCAATGGTTTTGGTGCCTGAATTATGTGTTCTTGAAATTTGGGTTTCAGTTCAGCTAGTTCCTTTCGTTCAGAGGTAGTTTTGACTTCTGGTTTAACAGGCTCAGGAGGTTTCTCGCTGTTATGAAGACCTTTTGTACAGCCCTATTGTGGAAAGCATATGTTTATATATACATGCAGTGTGGTTTGTGTGCATTAAGAATTAACAAAAACTGGAACAAGTTTTCTTGACTCATTTCTYCAGCTCCATCTTCTCCTTTAGCCCACTCTAAACACTGGCTGCAAAGGAAATCCTTCTGCTGAAGTAGAAAATATTCTCATTTGGATGCAAGTTAAAAGAAAAATGCATACTCTGTGTAGTCAAGCAAAACAYCAATAAATGCTGACCTTCCTTCTTTATTAACAAGTAGTTCTATCAAAACCTGTTTAGATAATTTAAACCATTAAAGCTTGCAAATGAGACTTGACTTCAGCACAATATGAAGAAAAATAGAGCATATAAGGATTACCAAAATGACACATACCATTTAATACTAATCACCATCTTTTGACAAGTATAAAAATTGTAAATAATTATGAGTACATACCGCAATGCTCAAGAAGTCAGAAAAGTCTGTTGTTCTCCTCTTGCAGCATGACCAACCCTACAAACATTTTGGAATAAAAACAACACAGGCATGACTACGAGACTTGACAATAGCTCATAAACAGCAAAGTATTAATTATATTCCTCTAATCCAGATTAGAGGAATTGTTTTCTTCCCTTCTGTGGACAATATTATCATCTGCATTTTTAAAAGCCAGAGAAGTCTTCTAATTCACTCAYGCTGCCTTAATCAGAAAGTTCAGTAAATGTGAAGCAACACTTCCATGACAAGTTAGATGCCAACTCTGTACAAATGTTACTTTATCTCCTAATGTAATATGTAAGCAAAACAAATACTACACCTGACGCCAGGCTCACCTGTAGCTCAACATACAGGCCCTCTTCCAAAAATGACACAGATTTTTTTTTCTTTTCTTAAGAACACTCAAATCTTTCAATTGCTTATTTCCCACCAACAGAGCTGGGTATGTGCATTGCACAGCTATCCAACTACATCAATCAAGAGCATTTTTTATTATATAAACTAGAAATTCAATTTTAGAACAAACTGTCTTGCCACTGTGAATAATATATCTTAGAAGTCAAAGAACCTTATTAAAGGCAACAGTTTGACTAACGCACCACTGCTTTGAAACCTTAAGTGGTGCAACACACTGGGTTTTATGTAGGTGGTTCTAAAATACCCTCAAAATATTAACCATTTCCACAGCTGAGGAGACAGAAGGTTCATCCTGCCCACCTAGATTATCTAAAGTTCATTGCAGGAAGAAAGCTGCTCATATGCAATTATAATAAATTTTTATTGGGCCAAGAGATAGGATAAGAAGGGAGAAAGTGGTACCTGTTTTTAAACAGTGAGTAGGTTAAGAGAAAGAGGGAGTAAATGTAAGTTTTTGAGCTAACTGTGTAATTATTCTCTTTATAACTATGTAGATTTTTGTACTATGCTATGAGTACAACTATAATCTTGTACCAAACAAATTGCCATAGTCTAAGTAATTATACAGTTTTTGATCTAAGAGTATTTGACCCCATTTGCCTGTGGCACATGACAGTTGTTTTGGAGTCAGGTACCRTAACATAAGCAACAGCTCACAGCGTACACGCTGCCCAGCACAAATGCAGAAGCTTTCACAAGGCCAAAAGAGATCACATTGTTGGGATGAGATGCAGTGCCAGTAGAATCAGTTCCTAAATACAAAAAAAAACCCCAAAAACAAAAACACACCAGACCCAAAAAAAATCCCCAAAACTAAAAAACTTGTCCCCCTCAAAGCTCGGCTAGACAGCAGTTTGGTGTTCTAAGAAAAGTCACTTAGGCTACATCTATTTTAATGGAGTAGAAAGTGCCAGGCTCCATTTTTGGACACCAGATTTCTAACTACACACTATTAAATTATTAGAATGATTTCCAATACTGTTTTGGCAATTGTGTCTCAAATAATTCCCTGTAGGCTCTTTATATGCATCCAGTAGATCTTGAGGTAGGAAAAGAGTTTAGYAAAGAACCAAGCATGGGCTGTGGAGTTGGCCTAAGGACTGAGACCAGTCACAGGTATATTTAATTCATCACTGAAGATGGAGCCCAAGAATCCTGGACATATGCATCAGCGGCATGGGTGACCAGTCCTAATTTAACCAACATCCTCATTTGACTGATTAAACCAATGTGGCTGTTTTTTACAGCACAATAATGTCACATACACATTAGTGCCCCGGCCACATTATACCATAAGCAGCTGCTTTGAATTCCAAGCAGGTTAATTAACTCAAAGAGTATGAAACCTCTCAATGGCTCCACAGTCCTATTTAGAGGACCTAATTAAACTGCTAAGAGACCTAAAGTCAGTCAATCAACAGGAAACAAGTCATCTAGACTTGCATGCTGTTTAGGCCATGAGCAGAGTTTTTAATTTCTTCTTCAGGAATGAGTAACTGTGCTTTTCTAATTTCATGGGGATGCTCATCACGGGCTGAACATCAGTTTTGCAACACTGAAAGATCTGGAATTAAAAAGAAAAAGCAGCACACTATTTTGCACATATGAAAAAAAAAAAAAAAGATAATACTTAAAGGGACAGTTGCATACTTACTTTGAGAGCATCATGAAAGACGGGAACACCTGGATGGTATGTGCATGAATCTAGAAGAAAATAATTGCTATTAATATTGAGGCATACCAAGAATCTTTATTCATATGATTACAAAGCCAGAAGAAATGTCACATTTGCAATTCTTCTATGCCATGACCTGCTCCACTTCCCCGAGTGCACATCATTGCTCAGAAAAATACACACTTCACAGAAAAAGCTCTCTTGAATGCACACATTAAACATAAATAATCAGCACTTCTTTCTTATTCTCTATTATACAACACAAACTAGAAAGCAGGTATCTAGGACAAACTACTACTTCCATGCGGAGCAAGTAAACTTGGACTATCCTGGGCATTCATCAATAATCAGGCCTGACTGGTAATTTTTGCTGAAGTAAAAAGTGACCCTATGGCTACCTGACAGACAGAAAATACTGGTTTAGAGCTTCAAACACATCAATTTCCACCTGATCAGAGATTTCTAYTGAGAAGCATTCTGTTAAAAAAGTATCTTAATGCAAATCAAGAGTTCATTATTTTAACCATTAATTAGCTAGTTCTTTTTTCAACGTTTGTAGTATCCTAAGCCACCTAAGGACTTGAACCCAAAGGTTAGTCTTCCACAGGCACAATTTTGACACAGCAATACTATTTATAAATAATAGATTCTGTACCAACACTACACTGAAATACAATCTTCATTAATGAAAGTGTTTATATTCATAGACATTTATCAACATTACACAGCTGTTCCTTTTTYACTTGTATGCCTTTCACATGTAACGAAATTGCTGTGATTACATAATAGCAATATTCTCACTGACATTTACTGCATGGATAGTATTTTACTGACTTGACTCTAAAAACTATCTTCCAGCCTTTAAAGCAAAACTAGAAACAATTAAAATTAAGTGACACAAAAAGTAACAATGCACATTGTAGGAAGCAAAAGAAAAAGGTGATAAATAACTTTATTAGCAGTCTATTGCTATTKAATAGGCAAAAACCCAGCCAAACTTGTTGTTTTCATCTTTTTTATAAATACATAGATTTTTAAAGAAATCTTGTTTAGTATAATTTTCTTTGATTTTCTAAAACCTAAAGCACTAATTCAGCCTGAGGGACATCAGTTCCCACCTGAACTCAAAAGACACATATTTTGGAACATTAGTCCTTCAGCATGACTTACAAATATATCCATAAACCTCTTTCAACTCCCTCAGTTTCAGGATGAAAAGCTAATGCTGGTAAACCTCACAGAAAARGTAAAAAGAAAAAAAAGTGATTATATTGCATAGACCAGGACTTCACTGTTAAAGACAGTAAAAATAAAAGTGGAGGTTATTCTTTCCCAAAAGTATGAAAGAATGTCAATAAAAGCATCATGAGAGTAAAAATAAAACTGTTTGAAGCAAAGATTACTTCTGAATCAGAAGACTTTAATGAACATTTCTAACTCTTTCCAAGCATTCTTCAATAGAGATGTGCTKTTAACAACTGGAACCATTTCAGAGGCCAGAACCATCTCATAATCAATTAATKCAGGGGTGGCTGTCGTCCAGCTCACAAAGCAGACACAGACAAGTGTCTGACCGTCCATATGGCCAAGGGCAATCCTTTTTCCTTGCTCCCTGGAGCTTGCTCTGCAGCAGGTACATCATGGAGCAAGTGACAGCCCACTTGGCTGCTGTCTCCAGAGGGCCCTGCACTCTCGGCAGGAGATGCCAGGACAAGTTGCTCTGCAATGCCTCATGCAGAGCCAGCCGGATTTGTTCACTGAGCAAGCAGTCTGACCATTCTCCCTGCTAGGACACAGTGAAACATCAGCTCGCCTGCACTCATATTGAGCCCAACAGCTCTCATCTGACAACAAGAGGGATTCCATCTCAGACTAGGCGGGGAAAACTAGAAAATTAGGATACACTGATAGTCACCCGAGCACATAAAAGCACATTCTAGTTCTGATTTGTGTGAGAGCACTTGCCAGCCTTTGGTTGGTATTCTTCATTTTTCGCTGGTAAAAAACCCAAAAACAAGTTAATTCTCCACTGCTGTTAATACCTTTCCTTCATCAGGAAAACCGAAGTACTTCAAAGCCGTTTTCTCTAACGCTCAGATAATTTTTAGAGGCACAAGTACCACAATTTTTCAGGTTTTTGTCATTGTTTGTTTGGGGCTTTTTTGATGTCAATTTCATAGCCAAACTGATCCTACTGTGCACACACGGGTATCATCTTGCTGCTATATCCTAAAAGCACTTAATTAGCCCTTTCATTAAATGTSAAAGTAGAAACTTGTAGGGGTCACCCAAACCCAAAACTTGGTTCTCTGTAATGATCTCTGAATAACTACATTTACCTTCAGAATTGCTCAGTCTAGAAGACAGGGATTCCACCAAGTGTTCCAGTCACTGAAACAAATTTCATCTCATGAAATTTTTTTCCCAACCCAAGCACCACAGAGTTAGCACATTGCCAACCTCACTGAGTTTAGTTCAACTTGATCACAAAYGTAGGAACRCAYCCTAAAGAAGTCTTACGTCTGTAAWGAACACAGATCTAATAGTCCCAGTCAGATCTCTTCTTTTTTTTGTCTTTTTACCATAAATACCCTTACTTGCTTTGCCTTYTGGGGCAAAGGGCTGCAGGGGATGGTGGTGGCAGAGATCAGTMAATGGACTCATTCCACAACTGTGCCTGCTTCTCATGTCACTAACATTAGCAAGTCCTACTCAAATATGTTGCCCCTGTCTTTAGAAAACATATAGCTTAGAAAAATAAACACTTTATTGCCACGGTTCTAAACCACAGCAAATGCACAGGCTAGAACATGTCAGCCTACTTGTAACTCCGGGTGTCACTAAAAATTAAATTAGTGCAAAAAGGGCRTTCTAGAAATYCARCCAWCAGTTWCTTTACGAACCAGGTGAGRGCARGTCCTCTGAAAGCTCAGATCACCCGTCTACAGCCTCTGYGGAATTATGAAAYCCCAAATGACAGAGCTTTAAAGAGKTTTCACCAGGATTCCCAGCACACACAAGAGAAGCACTGCAAGCGCTCAAGGCACTCGGCAAAGCAAATACACAGGTACCACTCACATACATACTTGGACTTAAAAAAAACAAAACAAAAAAACAAAACAAAGAAAAAAACCCAAAAGGCCGCTGGTAACTGCGATGTATGCGATATCCACAGAGGCCCTCAGCACAGAAACTTCTGCTGTTCTTAAGCACCCTCGGCACACATGACAGCGATGTGCAGCGCCGGGCCAGCCGTGGGGCACCCCGAGGGACCCGCWCCCCCGGGCCGGGTGACAGCCCCGCCGCGGGGCCCGCAGCCGGGGGACAGGCTCCCAGCGCCCCGCAAGAGCCCCGGGGCCACAAGCGGGCGGGATSGGCTCCCAGCGCCCCGCAGAGCCCCGACAGGCCGCCCCCGCTCCGGCAGCGAGGGTGGCACCCCGGTCCCGGCCGTGCCCGCCGCTCTCACCCGCCGTGTTGCTCTCGGGGTCGAAGCGCTGCCCGCAGCCCCGGTTGTAGCACAGCAGCGACATGGCCGCGGCACCTCCTGCCCCGCCGCCCGGGAGAGCCCAGCCCGGCCGAGCACGGCGGAAGGAAGAAGGAAGGAAGGAAGGAAGCCGGGCAGCAGCACCGGGGGCGGGGCAGCTCTCCGGGCGGAAAGAGCCGGCCGGAGCCTTCCGGAATCTTCACGAAGCTTCGGGGGACGGCGGGAGCGGGCGGGCGGCCGCGCAGGCGCTGCTGGGACGGTGCAGAGCCGCCGGGC